CTGAGAAAGTAGTTCAGAAGCTACAGAGAGTGCGAACTCGCAATCAATTTTTGTTTTCCAGCGTTGTATGCAACGGCGTGTTTGTGCTGCTGATGCTGCTGCTGCTGTTGTGATTGTTGTTGTATTTAGTATTGTAGTCATCGTCGCCCATTCTCCCGTTATTGTTCAGAGAACACTCGCCTTTCCAGTCCTCAGATCCCTCGCTGCCCTTCGTGAGTCATGTGAGGTCATGGCACCGAGGGCCAGGTTCCCCGCCAAGAAGCACGCGAGATGGTCCATCCGATGCTGCCGCCTCGTGCCGTTCCACTCGCTGAGGTACGTTAGTCCGCGGGCCTGGATGCCAGCACGGCAGGTGGGGTGCAACAAGGCAGCGCAGTGGGGAGAGATGAGGGGAGGGGTGAGAGAAACGAGAGAAAGAACGACAGCGAAAGAAAAAACGACAAACATCTTTTCTCAAAAACAAAACTTAAAATCGCATTTCACCAACAGCGCCGGCAAAGGCGGCCCTCCGTATGGTAATAGCTAATATCCGCTGAGGTCGAGGACGAGATATCGACGACGGCATTGGTGAAAAGTAACACCGGTTGGAGTCGAAGTATGAAAGATTCACCGAAAACAGTAGCGTGTGTTGAAGTTTCTTCTTGTGGTGAGGATGACAGTTGAGTTGTAGGCGGCAGGAATCATGCACCAAAGGGTCTTGATTGTCTGCCAGGCAGGGAGGCATCCCCAGATTGATCGGAGAGGTTCGGACGGTCGCACCTTCTGGACGAGGAGCTCCGCTACACCGTCCATGGCATCTTCGTACATCCTGCGGTAGCTCTCTTCTCGACGGCCTCCCTGCATCCACACCTTCAACAGGTACTCGTAAAACGAGTCACCCAAGGCCCCAAAGGTAACCTGAGAAAGCAAAGAAAGCGCGAAAAAAAAAGTCGAGTGACGCATGGGGATGGTGTGAAGAGCGAAATATACGTGCGGATGTGGAACCCGGCAATCGGATTGAAAGCAGCAGGGTACATGTACTGCAGCTTTTCGAAGTGATACATACCTATTCGATCCGCGTCAATCATACTTTTAACTTTAACGTACCGAAGGAGAGTGAATAACTTGCACGCGTCTGGCGATATGTTGACTCTTTTTTGCTGGGGTCACTTGCCTGGGACGAAGTGAACTTTCCGGTGTTGGGGTTAATCCGAATCGGGTAAAGACCGTGTGGCACTGTTCTTCCAGCCAGGAAGTCGAACGCCCGCATCGCCTGGCCAAATCATTGACAAACGTCGGTAATGGGTGTGAGTGTGCAATCTTGTTGGTTGTTGACGCGATGGCTTTTTCAGTACTCCTGGTCAGTTCGTCCGAATCCTTATTTAGGAACAAACATATTAACGTTATCTTTGGCGGTGTGAGGATCAGGCATAGAGACATCTTTGCCACATGCTTCCGTAGCAATGAAACCTTCAAATCACCACCAAATGATCCATTGCACAGCTCGAGGTAACGACGGGGTCCCGAACACCCGTTGGTCGAGTCCGAATTGTGTCGATCAGTTCGCGAAGCGGCCACAAAGCACGCTCACCGTTCTGGCGTACTTCTCGTCTCCCACCTCGTGACTCAGATATCGGAACTCCAACTGAGATGTTGTCGAGGGTAGAGGCAACAACAACATGACGAAGACTGGATCCGTTTCGAGAGGGGCCAAGGGTGGATTGATTGTACGACAAGCCCGCGCTCGACCGAGATACCGCGCCACACTGAGATTGTGGTGGCACGACGCGACGAGGATCCAGGACAAAATGTCGTCGACGTCGTCGCCATCACGATGACGTTCGCCCTACAACGATACCACCCATGCATACGACCAGTTCACATGATCGGAGTTTTCCAAGAAGAATAGCCCCCAGAAGCATGAAGGATACCCAAGGTAACGTCGCCACATACTCGTTATGGTTGAAATGTCGGCTGCGTTTGGATCATTGACATTTTCCTCGAAAGTGAAAATCCGTCACGTGGTCCCACACGTGCTCCATTCGACGACATGATGGCGGTGTGAATGCTACTACAATACGCACCTGAAGAGTGCCCAACTCGGAGAGTACGCTGTAAGAACCCCCGCCTGTCTTCCCGTTTGAAAGGTTCACCTGTGACACCGCAAGAGAGGCATCAGAAAATATCACATCGTCGTCCCTTTTTCGACATCACGCACATTTTTGCGAAACCAAGCAACATTCAGAACAGATTTCATCTCCATGCTGGTTCTGCCTTATTTCATACGAGAACGTCTTGCTCTCCTAATCACTCTCCTTCAGCATCGAATTCTGCGTGATCCTTTCGCATAACAAACGTGGCGTACTACATAAGCTCTACCGCGTCCATTTGCCCCTCTCGAGATTGTCCCAGTACGTGTCGGGGAGGTCGGTTTCCCGAAGCCAATAACTTCCGGGAGCTCATTGGAACTCATTCTCTACAGGCCTTCACTCGGAGTCATCCTTGAAATCGGTATGTATGCCCCTACAGTAGTAGTTCTTTCACATTTTCACGTGTCTGCGCTTGTGTGCTGTTCAACGTGTTTGTCTTTCCCGCGGATCTATTGCTTAAGCTCTCGACGGCCAACCTTTGCACGGTAGGAATGGCACCAACTGACCAGTTTGTACGGGATTCCGGTAGAGGTTCCGAAGGCTGGCATAAGTCTATC